TTCCATATTTTTTATGGTGGTTACGAGATCAGTCAAAATGACTGAACTCGTACGGAGATTCATTAGTGAAAAACTAACAGATAAAATATAAATTTTTTTCTTGGAATATGTTTGATAATTGTCTGGAGGTTATAAAGATTTTGCATGTGAAGTTTGAAAAATTTCTGATGCATAAAAGTATTTTAAATCTTAAAGTGAAAAATTACTTTGCATATTTGATAGGTAACATATGAAAAGAAAAATTGCATGAGAAAAACATTGCTTAACATACCTTAAGACTTAATATAAAAAAGTCTGATATTTTATGTATGAAAGTCTTGTAATGTTTACTGATAATCTGCCTAATTTCATGAACATAAGCTTACTAATTTAAAAGCTATAGCATAATAACTATAATAAGCACAAAACGGTTATGAGATTGGTCCCAGGGACTGAGCCTGTCCTGAAAGAGTTAACAGAGTTTGCATGCCAGTTGAATAGCATAGAACCATCTGTACAATTTAGCTATGAAATTGAGATAAATAATAGTTTGCATTTTTTAGATGTAATCGTAAAAAACAATGAACAAGGAAATTTAGAAATGTCTTTTTTTATGGGAACCTTTTTCTGTTCTTATGCTACCACACCAGGAATTATGTCATACTGAAACAAAAAAAAACATCTGTGTTTTGCATTTATATTCATAGAATTTTGATATATATGTACAAAACAAGAAAACTAAAAAAATTAGTTGTTACTAATGAAATATATAGCAGTTGAAAGAGGATTTAACCAAACTATTGTAGATGAGCAGTTAAGAAATTCACTAATGTAGTAATAATGAACCAAAGTATTATGTTAAAATTCAGTTATGATAAAATTAAAAAGGAATGTTTATTTTTGTCATATGTTCCGGGTTTAACCACTTGTTTATTCATAGTGTTTAAAAAACAAGTATTTTACTCTGTATTTAAACCAGTGAATAACATAAAACAAATTTTAGGTAATACTAAAGAAACTAATGGAAAAAACTGGAATTTATGAAATGTGAATGTGGAAATGTTTATATTGGACAGACAAAACATAATTTAAGATATTATTTAGAAGAACATAAAGGATGCATAAAAAATGAAAGGACTTAAAATTCAGCCATAGCAGAACATGTACAAAAGTAATATTCGCCCAAACAAAGGGTATTAGGGCTAATAATATCTGCAAATCTTTAAAAATAATAAAGTTTAAAAAAAAAATCATGAATTATTAGATACGAGATGAAGGTCCAATCAGGGGTGAAATTCTAAAAAAAAAGAAAGTAGAGTTACCCAGGTGGGTGAAGTAGACTTGTTTTTGAAAAAGACAACAACAAACATAAAAAATAACAAAGCCACTCAAATAAGTTCTGGTACTCAGTACCGGTGAGTACTGGCAGAATTTCATCACTGAGTCTGGTGAATATTTGTGTAAAAATGTGTTAGGACCTCCTCAGAGATTTATGCAGAAATAGTGAACCTACACACAGTTCACACAATCTAATTAAAAAGAAATATATAAACATCCATATGTAGGGATGGCTCAGACTGTTCATCAAAATGGTATTTTAAATATCTCCTCAATAGGTCGGTGTTTCCTATTGAAACAATATCTATGTTATGACTGAATCACAAGTTCTGGGAATGTCTAAATATCAGCAAAAAGTTTAAATTTCTTGTTTTTCTTTCTTCTGCTTCTTTTTTATTACACGATAACTCAAAAACCAAAACAATTATGATAACCAGTTTCACTGAGGTGACATAGTTTCAAACAGAGGTTCCACTTTTATAAGTATTGTAGTAATTTAAAAAAATCCTAATTCTAGTTTTAACAATGTATTATAACACTTTGAAGTTAGCTTTCTTACAGAAATATGGTGTTCCTTTAAAAATTTTAAGTACAGAGTGAAACAGTAATTACCAGCCAATAATGGACATGCAATAAATATTACAGTTGGAACCTCATTGTGTTTAGAACTTGCTTATAAATACAAATGCTATCCCTAATATCTTGTTTGCATTGTTTTTGAAGGATTGATAATGACATTTATGTCTTGCAAGCTCATACCTGATGATGATGTGATAATTTTAAAACATGTAGAGCCCACATTTTAGAGGTCATAGTTTGGCCTGAATTAAAAAGTATTTTTAAATGTTTTAACATTGTATGTTATTTATATATTATTTTAACATTATATACAAGTACCAAGAAAATAATAAATAATGATGTACTGTAACTGTTATATTTTTTAAATACATTTTAATTTAAAACACTAAATCATTCTTTTTACATGTAAATGGACATCATCTGGTTCTATCAGGTGATATTTTTCACAAGTAGCAGTACCAACCAACTTTGTAATGATTTTAAACAGTGATGCATAAACAAAATGTTATTTTTTTTTTTTTACATACATAAAAAAG